ACTTTGCCTATCGATAAGTTATCGCAATTCATCCATCGATATATTATAATTATCGATATACCGATAGGTATGTATACAGGGTACTCCGAATTGCATTCCGGAAACTTCGGCAGTATATTCTACAGATAAAAATAAGTAAAAAAGTTTGTATAAATGTATGTCCGAAAATGCATAGTTTCGGAGATACAGGGTGCAGAAGTTTCATTTTTATTTCGAGTTTTTCCAAATAATTTCTGAAGTATCGTCAATAGTTGGATGAAAATTGGTATTTGGGAGTTTTTTGACATGAGAAATTTGATTTTGATGTCAATATGATTCCTACTTGTAGAGGGCGCCTTTTACATATTTTTTAACTGGTTTGACGAGTAATAACTTTTCATCCGTACCTGTATAAAACTACTGAGTAAAAAAATATACATTTACGACGTTTTTTACATAAAAAAATCTTTTAATAAAAATCGCTATGAGTATTGGTTCTCGCGATATTTGGAATCGAAATTATCAAAACCCTATTACCATTGACATAAATTAAACATGTTCACTAAATAGTTTTTAGACTGAAATCATAAATTTGAAATGTTTTTGTACCAAACTATCTCCGAAACTAAGCACTTTAAAACATACATTTATACAAACTTTTTTACTGGTTTTTATCTGCAGAATATGCTGCCGAAGTTGGAATACAGTTCGGACCACCCTGTATATCGAGGAATCGATAATTTTGACGTAACCTATTGTTATTCAATATATCGATAGTTATCGATATATCGGAGAAAATCCATTCCTAATTGAAACTATCTAGATTGTTGTATTATGAAATTTTAGGGAATAATGATTTAGAGAAAATAAAAATATAGTATATCGTATTTTATACAGGGTGTCCCAGAAATAAGTACAGATATTTAACTAGTAGTATATTCCAACCCCGAAACACGCCAGTGAGGTTATTTTCGCGAAAAAAATTTGAAAATTTGGAATTTTTTGAAAACGGTAAAGAGAAAATATGTTTCTTTTATCGAGATCTATCACCTCTCAAAATATCTGTACTTATTTCTGGGACACCCTGTATAATAATTACAAAATGTCCAGCTAGTATTCAGTTTTTAAACGGGTAAATAAAAATTATACGCACAAAATAAATTTTAAAATATCGATATATCTATGGATATATTAATATTTCGATTGTTATTGACATATCGATAACTATCAATAACAGATACTTATGGAAATGATATAAAAATCGATAGGTGACGATAAATATCGATAGTTATCGATATATCGGGAAAACTCCCATCCCTAGTATATTATACACAGAATATTTAAATGAATGATGGAGAAATTGACTAGAACTAAGACAGAAAAAAGTCGAAAAATGGCTAATTTTTGGCTATTTTTTTCCTTATTTTCAAGTCTCTTAGAAAAATAGTAAACACAGTCATAAAATTACGAAAATGTCACCATTTATGGGAAATTTTACACTGATTTAGAATATATAAAGAGATTTAGAATATGTAAATTTGTCCGAGAACACAAATAATCCATAACCTATTTTATCCTTCTTAAACCTTAACCAGACCAGATTACTAACAAATAAGCCGCCCTATCGATCAAAGGAAAACGGACGTAATCCCTACTCCTTCGCCTCCCTATTTAACCCCCTTTACCCTTACACCGTGATTTTCCCACCCCCCAGTACTAGTAATCCTCTAGTTATACCCTTACACCACCTCCAATTGGGGAAATGAATGCAGAAACCGCGCTATCGACCCACATTATCCCCGCAACTCCTTTAAACGGCGCTGCAACAACCTGGTCGGCGTACTTTTACCCCTGGTTCTCCTGTTTCGGCAAAAATTCGTAATTCGCTGCAGGCTAGCGTGTTTGAGGGGGTGGGGAGTGTATTGGGGGCCGTTTTAATGGGAAATAGGCTAGAATTAGGAGGTTGTTTGTATTGGAGACTAGTGAAGACTGATTATAGATATGTAGAAATCGTTAAAAGTTGAATCATTTGAGTCATTATACATTGAGTCATTGAGTCATTATACATTATACAGACGTCTAAATTATTACCAAATTAAATTTTAAAAAAATAAAAGTAAAGTAGACGAGTTGGCTGAAAAAAAGTAGCCGTGGCAACATTGCGATTTCCTTATACAGGGTGAATCTTAAATAAGTGCAAATATTTTGAGTTATTTCACTTTGAACATTTAAAAAAAAAATATTTTTTTGCTTAAATTTTGAGAACCACTGAATCTTTTCTGGGTTTTCTTTCTTGTAAATTTAATCTACCGTCTAATGTTGCCAAGTGATGAAGATATTGTTTTTTTTAACTAAAAATTTAAACAAATTTTCAAAAAATTCCAAATTTTCAAAAAAAAATCGCGAAAAAAACCCATAGACGTATTTCTGGAGTAGAAATATACTACACCTAAAAATATTTGATAAACATGTATACAGTATGTCCCTGGATTGTCTTTATAAGTTCATAATTGATTGATTTATTATACGTAACGTGTATTATATACAGTATATCCCCGGATCTGTCTTTACAAATAATATGTAAATAATAAAACCTTTTTATTATTTACATATTGAGAAAAATGCATTCTTCATAAAAATGTTCCTTGTTCTAAAATGGTTAATCCCATTTATATACTTTTCCAAATTTCCATATAGTTTTAGAGAAAATTAAAAAAAATAGCCTTAAAAATCAAAACGCGTTTCCATGGTACTATAATTTCGTTTCCATTAATTGATAGAATTTTAATTAACGTCATATTTTTGCTGTTTTAAAATATTAAATAAGCAAAAATAAATATTTATTTCAATGCAACGGAAAGGGAGATAAAAGAGTATAATGAAAAATATACGAAATAATATACATGTAGGTACCGATTTCTTTCGAAAATCGACAACTATGATACTATAAACCCTTCCCCGACACAAACGGTACATTGTGAAACAGGAAATTGTAGAGAGAAACAAGCCCTATACCATAGGATACAACATTTTAATGAACAGTGTTTTCCATAAAATCAATAAAATGAAAAATATACGAAATAATATACATGTACTGATTTCTTTCGAAAATCGACAACTATGAAACTATGAACCCTTCCCGGACACAAACGGTACATTGCGATACAGGAAATTGTTGAGAGAAACAAGCCCTATAACATAGGATACAACATTTTAATGAACAGTGCTTTCCATACAATCAATAAAATGAAAAAATACGAAATAATATTATACATGTACTGATTTCTTTCGAAAATCGACAACTATGACACTATGATCCCTTCCCCGACACAAACGGAACATTGTGAAACAGGAAATTGTAGAGAGAAACAAGCCCTATAACATAGGATACAACATTTTAATGAACAGTGCTTTACATAAAGTCAATAAAATGAAAAATATACATGTACTGTATATTATTATATATTTCGTATAGATAAAGAGTAGTTATCGAAAAATGTGATGCTTTAAGAACAGCAAAAATATGACGTTAATCAAAATTAATAATAACCATCTATCAAAGAATGAAATCGAAATTATATTACCATAGAAACGCTTTTTGACTTTTTGATTTTTAGGAAAAAATTCAACCATATTTTCATGTTTTTTTTTATTTTCCCTAAAACGGTATGGAAATTTGGAAAAAGATAAACGAGATTAACCATTTTAGAACAAGCAAATTTTTTTATGAAAAATTAATTTTTCTCAAAATGTAAATAATAAAAAAGTTTTTCCGCTTGTATAGACAATCCGGGGACATACTGTATATTTATGTAATTAACTTACAACAAAGTTTCATGCACAAATATTTTTTTAACTTTTCAAATTCTTTTTTCATCATCAGCTGATTTTTTTATTCTTTACATGCATCATTCCTTCAAAAAATTTACTCTAAAAAAATCATAATATTAATCTTTTTTTCTCTCTGTAACCTGCCCACCCTAACCAAAGATTAATAGTCGTTTTAAAATTACGACAAGACCAAAATGACACAGTTTAGAAGTGTGAGCGAGATGCTGAGCAGAAAAAAAATCAGGAAAGGCCTAAAATGACAAAGTACCTTCCTCTGAAGGGACAGGCAAAAAACCGGTGTTAAAATTTTGTCACTGACAAACTGTAAAAATTAGATGAGAAAATATAGGGTTGGTGTAAGTTACCCTTTTTCCCTTAGTTACTTCGTAAAGGTTAGAGGATTTTGTGGGTGAATAAGAAAATAATAAGGGATGAACACCCTTTTTTATGAGTATACAGGGTGTTTCAAAAACATTTGCCGTCTCTCGTGGGGAGATTCTAATTATCTAATAATATTATACTATTCTAAAAAGTGTTTTACGTTTAAAAATATTCAGAAATTATTATCATGAATTTATTACGAGTAGAAAAATATTGTACTGGGTTGAAGTTGGTTTCTATGCAATTTGACAAATAAATAAAGCTGTCTCTTTAGTTGTCGTTTTGAGCTTCAATATTTTTTAATTCTCAAAGATTGTTGATTGAATTGGAGCCAGAAATGGCTCAAAGCGAAATAAGTAAATTACCCACAGATAACAGGTTGAGGCGACAAACGCCATATCCAAACTACTTCATTTAAATCCCGAATAACTTATGAAAAGGAATACAAAAAGTTTCAAAATGGAAGCAATTAAAAAACGTGCGAGAAGAAATAAAGTTTTTAACCTATACTCGCTGTTAAAGTATCATTAATCTACCCCTGCGGTTAAAGTACTATTTCATCTACTATTTTTGATAGATATAAGGCAATTTTTTATCAGTTGCTATGGAAAAAAAAACTGTTGATTTAAATCATTGCACCACGGGTTAAAGGTTAAACTCTTCATTTTTTTTTTCCATTAGCGGTTTACTCTTTTAAAGGTATTTGGTATCATGTATAAGTAATTGCGTCAGCGTACATATCAAACGATACGTTTACGTATACGTCTTTCTTAAGTATAAGATTCGTATTGGCGATCACTAGTACTTACGTAATTTGTTAGGCCTGTGAGGGGCACACCGTTGGCCTCCAGCAGGAGGTCCCCCACGTTGAGCAGGCCGCAGGACGAGGCCGGTTGGTGGGGAAACAGCCTCTTAATTCTGACCAATCCCGGCCAAGAGCCCGCGCTGTCCACGCCGCCGGTGACGCTGAGGCCTAGACCTCGCGTGCCTTTGGCCAGTTTGACAGAAAAAGTACTTGAAACAGAAAAAAATTATTTAACATAAAAATAAACCAGAAATATAATGTGTGATATAGAATTGAAATACAGAGTTGTTCACGCTCTACTACAGGGATCTGTATTACCAGAAATCAATGAAGAATTACGACTGTATTACGTTGCTTACATTGGTTATAGTTGTTCGTGCTGGCAACTGTTACTTTTGGGTCGGCATTTCATGTGGGAAGTAAATCGCATAGGAATCTTTATTAAGTCGGAGTGAGAGAAACGAGACGCGCGACGCGCGACGGTGTGTTGTTGCGGCGTTGCCGATACGCCTTCCCTATCAAGTAAAGTAAAATCACGATCGCAAACCGCTTATTTTTAAAAAAGACTTTTTTCAAGAGATAACTAGATAAAATCATTAGACATGTTTCTGAGCATCTGAAATGGAATTATAAGGATATCGTTAAGGTGTCGTTTTTTTATAACGAGAAAAGGTCAGTAATCGCGATAATTTAAAAATTCAACTTTTAACACAAGAACTTTAACACAAGGCCATAACTCAAGAACCACTTTTAGTATTGAAACTTTTTTTGTTTTCAAGATCGGATATTTTACAATATGTTAACTAAGAAAAATTCGATGAGGTTGTTTTTTCCATTCAAAAATTGTAAACAATCCATCCATTTACTTTTAGAGGATAGCAATTTTTCAAAGCAATCGTGTAATTTTTTATTGATAAAGATTTTCACATACTGTCATTAAAGAAAATTCAGCAGAAATATTAACAAAGTTCTTGAAAAACTACAAGCTATTTTAATAGATTTCGAGATATCGATTTGTGAATTCAGAGTTCTAATAGCGACCACTATCGAACACCCACTCAATTCCACTTATTTTTACCAAAATGCAAGTGTTTCTAGCTTGCACTTAAAAAAATCAAGCTATATAGGGAAAATTACAACGACTGTTAATAAATAAAACAAATTCAAGTATCACGAGACGTAATTAAACCGTGAAGCTGAACGCATGATGTACACCTTTCCGTAGAACTTTAAGTACTGACAGAGGTGTTGATTGGGTCGACCGGTCAACTGCGACAAATCTACTATATCCCCTTCCACGTCTCTAGCGATGTGCACAGTTTCTCGGTTTATTTCATACGTTTGGCAACGTGTTTACTGTCCTCTCTTTGTTCAGTACATTATAAAACGCATTGTACTCTTCTTATATAGGGAAATCTCGACCCAGGACTAACCTTGCCAGCCCTTAGTATGTTCTGTTTCTATCGGTTTCCTGAAAGTTTTCTTACTACGGAACACAGTTCCTGAAAAATATCTATCATAATTGCCACCGAACTAACCCATGGTACAAAGAATACAAGGCATGATCGATAGCGGCTCCATTTTCGTTCAGTTCGCGCATACGACCTGTAACGTCACTAGGAAAATAATGAATAAATAAAAAATAAAGAAAGTTGACAGGAGTTCTGCATTTTTGAGGTTATGCTTAAGAATTGTTTATTTTAAGACTTTTAGTTCGTTTAATAAGTTAAATTACTAAACCAGCAGTTCCAAAAATATATTTAAAAATAATAATTATCTATTAACATGGATTTGAACGATAATAGGTAAAAATACTAAATTTATTTCTATATTCGGTATAAAATTGTTTATTAGGTTTTTAGTTTGCGATGTTTTTGGTAAATAATTTTCATTTTATTGCCTTTGAATTCACATGAGGACAGAGATGAGGATATCTATGGGAAAGTAACCACAAGAGGAATTGTTACATCATTTAAAAAATGTTGGGAAGTTGCCCATCGAAAAGTAGAAAATGCCAATGCAGATGAACGTATTGTAATTGTGATAGAAGTAATTCCAAGGGTGCAGTTTATTATAATTAGTGGAAGTAATACCAAGGGTGAAGTTTATTATAATTACCTGTGCTTCTTTTTATAGGTAGATGTTTCTTGGTTTGAGAATAAATCGGTTGAATGACACCTAAAATTTAAAGGAAGTATTTGCATACTCAGAATATGCCCATCAAGGGTTATATAGCTCAAATTTCCTTTAATGGTAGGCAATTATTCAATGCAAATTAACTTTTAAGTGACTGAAATATTAAATAGTTTACAATATGGTATACCACTAAAAATATATTACTTTTTAGGGTACAATTAGGGCCCGATACATTTCAAAAGTAGAATATTATTTTATATTAAAATGAGGTATTGTATCAACAATCAATTTATATTAATAACGATTAAAATAACAGAATAAATAGTTCTTTTTTTTATACTACAAAAATAAACTATAGAATACAACAGTATTTAAAAACACAATAGAAAGTGATGTTCCGGCCGAGATTCGAACCCCGGTCTCTCGCTTCCTAACCCGACTCCTTACGCACTGCTCCACAGTAACCTGCTTAGCGATAATTCAATGACGGTATATAAACAAAAACACAGGTTTATAACAATATCTTGACGATTTGAACTGGCGCGCGGAGCGTGTTGACCAATAGCGCCTGTTGTCACCTGTGACGTAGCGACCAACCTGCGCAATATCATACCTTGTATTCTTTGTACCATGGAACTAACCAGCGCGAGAAGGCTGGTTTGGTTTTGTTTGTCAATCAATGTAATTTATGTGACAGAAATCAGGCAAATATTGGAAGTTCGAGTGAAATTCTCTCATTTACTTTCTAATATTTGTAATAATATTTTGTATTTATATCCAAAAGCCATGAAGGTCGGTAGTAAAATTAAGTCAATTTCATTAACTAAATAGAATGACTTTTTGGACCATTTAAACTTATTATGCAGCCATTGTTTCTTAAAGTTAAGAACATTTAAAGAAAACATGATGAGAAACAAGACAACAAGTAAGCGTGAATGTTTGTAAGCTATAAAATATAAATATTGATTAGATTTGTTTAATGATTTTGATCTGTTTGTATACCAATTTTATCCTTGCAAGAAATTTAGTCAGAAATAAGTTTGGTTGTGTATATTTTAATTAAGTAACATTAAAACTTTAACTCTCATTTTCTTCATAATTATCTTCTAGGACTTGATCCAAGTCACTTCTAAACCTCATATATTATTACATTTTAGTTTCTACGATTAAAATAAACTCTCTGAGCTTTAAAAGGTAAAATATAAACAAAGCGTACAAAAACGAATTAAAATAATTTGGAGGAACATTTCCAAATGTCATTTTCAGTAAAAATATTGAATCTTAATTCAATTGGTATCGCTGGAGAGCCTCAACTTTTTAATTTAGCCCTTAACAACAGCCCTGGGGCACTATATTACGTTCAAAAATTTGAAATGCAGATTCGGTTTTGTCTTGGTGAGGGTTTTTGAGGGTGCTTTGAAGGGATATAATACGCAGGCAAGGGTGATTTTTTTGCTATAAAGAAATTAGTGCCAATTTTGACTTTTTTCTTCATTGAAAACGACAGTATTTGTAAAACTAAGTGGAAGTTTCTGGTCTGAAGAGTATACAAAAATATTTTTCGATTTTTTTATTACCTTTATCGAATCGCGTCTCCCTCTAAAAATTTCAGCGCAAATTGTGTTCAATTAACATATTTTGATTCCAAAAATACGTAGTTTTTCTATGTCCACGCAATATGGGACACCCTGTACATTTCTACCTAACCAAGATGGACTCTATGCATTGTACAGTGTGGCGCCTTTCATATGATTTTTTTTAAACTTTTAAAACATAGAGATCTACAGGGCGTCTCCAAAAAAAGTTATCCATCAAAGTTGTGCTTGTTATAATAGAACATCTTATATATCACTAGATTTTCAGATCTGTATTGAAAAAATAAAGGTGACTTTCATTAGAGGAGTATATTATGTTTAAAATGTAAGGTTTTTGACATACATATTTAACATTTTCAAATGAGGAACAAATTTTAATTTCAATAAAAGCTAGCTAAATTGGATTTACCCAGTATATAGCCTAATATGTAGTTAAATAACTATTGTACCTTAAATCAAATTAAAAAAAAAAAAAAAAAAAATTTATACAGGGTGAGACAAAATTAATATTGAACATTGGCCATTTTTAAAAGCAAGTTACCCTTTATTTTAAATGGAACACAGAGTATATTATTCCGATATTCTATGAAAAAATTATGTATCTTCAAATACTATTAAAGTTATGTTAGCCTATCCACTAGACAAAGATTTTCCGAGATATTTTCATATTTATGATTTTCCGTAAGTAGATTTTATAATTTGATAAAATCTAGGTTGCTGTCATGGGCGCCGGAAGAATGAGATTTAGGGGGGGGGGCAAGGTAAAAAATGAATAAAAAAAAAAAAAAATTTGGTAATTATTGGGAAAACTGGAAATCGTCCGATTTTCACCAAAATTGGTATACACCCTATTATGAAGTCGTAGATTGCGAATCTGAACTTTTTTCTTGGCGGTCTCTACCGTTTTTCAGAAAACGGAAAGCCACTTCAATATCGAATTTTTCTTAATTTCTCATATTTTTAAGGTTTTTAGCACATATTTTGTTAGGGTATTCAATAATCAATGATGTTTTGCTATTTCTTGTTACTTTTTTTAACCAATTTATGCATAATAGAGGAAAATTTGTTAAAATAAATTTGTAAACAATCTGAAATTGTTAGGTTATGGTTTTGTTCGGGTTCTTGCTATTACCGATTCTGAACAGCCCTAGAACTCTGCAGCGCATGCGCAAATGAAATAATGTCTTCATATTTCCTGCTGCGCATACGCATCACACTAGGACGGTTCAGAATCGGTAATAAGAGAAACCCGAAGTAAGCTTATGTGTTTCTGGCATTTAAGCAACGTTGCCAATGCTAAACCTAAATTTAGCGTGTTTTGTTCGCTCATTCTGGAATTACAAAAGGCGGTCGCCAGAAGAACGGCTCCTTCCCATAACTTTTTTACCAACGAGATCTGACTATTTATAAACAAAATAAAAAAAAAAGAGTTTTGATTGCATTGTTACAACTTCTATGGAGGGTGTTAATCTTT